CGATTGAACCTGCACATCGAGGTGTTCTGAGCTGTAGGAACAATAAGAGCTTTCCGAACCATTCCGCAAATGACAAAAAGTAGCCTCGCGGCAGCGAGGCGTGTGTGTGGACCATCTGAATAGATGTAAAACTTCTATCCGTTTTTAGCTGCACTACTTCTTTGATTTGACTCTTCATCAATTTACTTTTTTCAATTTTCATGCAGGGGGCGACAGGGTCGCTGCATGGCTGTCGCCAACGAAGCTCCATGCAGTTGACTAGGATATGGAGTCTGATCAACTCCACGTACCTGCTTCATTTCTTCGTTATGGGACGTGGCTAACCCAAGAACCACCAAGCCGGTTTCCAACAATCTGTTTACTTTCCTGTTTGCACGGTTTTCGCAATCTGATTTACTGCTGACTTCGTCAAATGGAACAGTTGCATCTAGCAAGGACGTAGAAAGAATTCTTCTCCACTGTTTCTCACGCCTGGTCATTTACTATGTCCTGTCAGGTTTAACTGAAGTGTTTTTGCACGTACGATGCATTCCACATCAGTAATTCGATAAGATGTTTCTGAGCAAGTGTGTGGGCGGTTGGGGTTTGCCGTGGAAAGCCCAGCGCCAAGCATCAGTTCCATCTCCATCACTAGAGAAGCCAGCAACAAGCCCAGCAATACCTGCGGCAAGGCCTTTTCGCTGGTTCAATGCCTTCAGGACCATGGGGGATGATGCAAAAGAAAACTACAACCAAACTTTTGCTGTTCTCTTGGTGAGGCTCCAGGCTCCTTTTGGAATGGGCTACACTGCTATACCGGGCCCTATTCTTCAACCAACCCAAGTCCCCACCGCCGGCTCCCGACCCCTTGGAGAAGTGCGGCCAGCATCCGGTAGAGCAAGCGGCTGCGTTCCGTCGCCACGCTCAGCTCGAAGATCTCTTGATCTCCTCACGATGATCTGTCGGTGATTGTCCGAACCCGGTATTCTGTACTTGAACATATTGTGATTGTCTATGTAGATACAGTGGTTTTAATTTGATTGCTAACCACCACCAACTTCAATTGGATCATCGGACAGTTTGTGACGGTTTGTGGAGGAAACCTTTCTGAGACAAGGCAAAGTTGTTTGAAGTGCACCGAGGTAATTCCAATACAAAGTTGACTATGACTCAGCAACCAGGGCATTCTTGCTCAACAAGCGTTTTCTGTGCCTTGGGAATGTTTTGATCAAAAGATCCAAGACCATGAATGCAATACCTTGTGAATTCGAAATGATCTAAATTTTGTCCTGGAAACAATACGGTTGCAGAGCCACCATAGAAGACACATATTGAAAAGCCACTAGTGCGTGCATACTCAACATTCTACAGTTGAATTCAGCTCATTTCATGGCCAGGCCCTCGGATTTTTCCCGTCACAACCAACAAAAAAGCATCAAGTTTTGAAACAACTTGTGGTTTAAACCCCAGTTCGGGTGGGGAAATCTTTTAAACTCCAATTTTTTGTCTGTTGATTAAAACTCCGCATTCGTGGTGCTTCCCATAGAATGATCCATTTCTGTTGGTGCATTTCCAAATTGCTAGTAGCAACAGGCTAAAACTACAGGGTGTTAAGCACTATTTCCCACGCTCGCCCAGAAAACGTGCCTCGCCCTTGTTTTTGCTTGGCTACATCTCAATTTGATTGGTTAAATCCCAATTTTTTGCCAACCCGGGATAAATAGACCCTCTTTATCAATTAGTGAGGTATGCCGGAATCCCATTCAGTCTTCATTTTTCTCTGCTAAATCCCCTTCCTTTAACCATCAAAATCGGCCATTTTATGGCATTTGGAGGAAATCATGACTGGATTTTGCGAATTTCTCCCATGGTCCCATTTTCAGCACATCTCCAGATCTCCCACTTTCTCCTTCCACATCTTTGGCCGCCAACACCTCCGCCTGCGACGCGGCAGCCACCTCCGCCAGACTCAACGCCGCCGGGACGGCCTGGACCGCGGCGGAACGGCGCCGCTCCGGCGCCTCGGTCCTGGGAACAGCCGCATAGGTTAGATATAATAGATATAGATATATATATATATATATGTGTGTATGTGTGTATAGTGTGTATATATATATGTATATATGTATATATGTATATATGTATATATGTATATATGTATATATGTGTATATGTGTATATGTGTATATGTATATGTATATGTATGTGTATGTGTATATATATATATATGTATATGTGTGTATAGTGTGTATATATATATAGTTATATAGATACATATAGACACACATACATAAATTTACATACATGAAGATGACATGATATTTGTGATCTTTTTGCTGAGCATGACCATCACCCACTGGTAGAAGACCTTTTTCCATGATATGTATGGTATGTGATATGTATTGATACATGATATGTATTGCATTGAATAAACAGCGCGTCACTAATTTTACTGACACCTGGAGATCGAAATTAAATTCAGAACCGAAACGAGAAGTGGGACAAACATGCTAGGAAAAAACTCAGTTCCGAAGCTTTTTGAAGGGTGTCTTCTGGCACTTTAGCATAGCACTGGAAATTTAAAGTTCCCCATAGGAGATACCCTTTAAAAAATTGATGAGAATACATGATTGGCCACCCCTCTAACCCATGCTCCCAACGGGTCCTTTGACCCCCGCGTCCCAATCTTTTGGTCGCTTCAGGTCCCAGGGCTTTGAAGTGACTTGGATCGCCCACACGCTGAACATACGCAACCTCCTGGCGCCCAGCGGGGCTCCTTTCATGTTGGTATGGGTGCATATTGTTAAATAAATTATATGTGTAATATATATATAAATAGAGATATACGTATAGATAGATATATAGATATGCTCAGGTTTTTTTGCGGCAAAATATGAAACTGACCAAAACATATCCACCAAACAGCACCTCAATTTTCAGGCACCCTTCAAGTCTGCATGATCTCCTGACTTCTCCCTCTTCTGGCAGATCTCGGTGGCGATCCAACACCCCGTGGAGACTCCAGCGGTGTCACACGCGCAGAAGGCGCCGGGAGACAGTCCTCCAGGTGCACCTGCAGTCCGCCAGCAGTGGGCCAGGTGGCGCCGATGGTGGCAGGGAGCACATTGCTGAAGCTACCAGCACCTGGCGTCATCCCCAGGACCGGTAAACTGACCAACAGAAAAATAAGACTTCCCAATTGTGAATCATTTCCTGGGGTACAAGCCATTCTTAAGCGAAAGCCAGGGGAGAGATTATTGTGAGCACTTAACTGGGATTCACACATCCAAGAATAGAATTCCGTGGAAAACGCAAGCGAAAAGCACCTATGCTGTTGCAAGGCTTTAAACCAGGTTTCCGTAGCAATTTCCCTTACTTTCACCAATTTTCCCAGCATCAAAAGCAAAGTTCCTGCCTGGATAGGAGGCTGGATACGGTCCCCCAGGTGGAGCAGGGGGCACAGGCACAGCCATGTCAACGCTGGTGTCTCAACTTCTGTTGGGTAGGGCGACCACAAATGAGGTGCCAATGGACCTGCCAATTTTTGCTATTTTGGGTATCAGTAGACCATCGAATTTTGGGGGCCAATACGTTTGAGCCCCTGATCAATCGGAAAAAAAGCTGTTGAACATGGCTGAGTTGGCAGGTAAGTAGAGGGTTTCCACTTTCTTGGCTTGGCTGCCCCAAGCTTTTGAACCCTTGTAGCCTTGTAGGTTTCAAAGTTTGGTGTTTCCCAGCTTTTGTGCGATTAGCATGACAGCATGAGCTTTGTTGATGTCTTCAGAAGCAGCTCCAAACACTATCTGCTTAGGCGTTGAACAAGTCAGGCGCTCCCTTGGTCTACCTGACATGTGAAACATCAAATAAGACTTCTACAGTACATCCTGATATACCACCGCAAAACTGTCAAGAGGCTTATCACTTAGAGAATCACCAGGCTGATTTTTACTTTCCTCTACACTCATCACCATTCATCATTCCAATTCCTTGTGTTGAAACATCTGACTTGGGCAAGGTCAGGGTGCGAAGGTGATAAGGCAGCATGAACCTCCAAAGCACCAGCTGGACCCGGGGATGACTGTGTTACTCCGCCCAGTCTCAATAGAGAGTGAAGGTTGGGGATGTTGGAGGCTAGAGAGGATACCCCGTTCAAGATTGGGATGCTGCGCCGTCTCAAGAAGTCTCAAGAACAGCAAGTGACGAAAATTTAAAAAAACGGTTCAGGCCCTTGTACGCAACAACTGGTTTCAGTCATTTGATGTCGGCCCTCTGAAGATTGCTGCTAATCCCCTTCCCCTAACATTAACTTCCGTTAGAAATGGACCCCGAGATGAATAGATCCAATACTAAACAAAGGTTCCGAAGGGATTGCCGCCCTTGTTTACTGTTGTGGCATAGAGAACTGAGATCCCAGGCTGGAATCATTGATGGCTACACCCAATGCAAAACAGCAATGAACTAGAAAGCGAATGATCAGCCAGGGCGGCAAACTGAGAAAAATCAACTCCATGACTTCCTCCCAACCTTCAACATCCTGTTGTTTATCCGTTCAATGGATTTATGGATGTTTAAGATGGCATCCACAATTCACCACCATACGATCAGGCCTGAGCTTCCAAATTCAACGCCACCTCACGGTCTTTGGCTTCCTGCCTCAGGGGGCTCAGCGCAGTTGCGAGCCTGACTTCATTTTGAACCGAGACTTTCCTAACCTTTGATGTCCACTTTCATGTCCACTTTCCTAGAATACTCCAGTATACTCCAGTACTCCTTGGTCTATTTGTACATTTGTGAACCAAACCATGCCCTAATATGTCATGATTATCCACATTTTATATGGGCAGGTAAAACCCCCATTGTGGGTAAGCCCGACACGGTTTTCCACTTGGATGCCCGGGCAACTGCTTTTCCAACCCTTGGATCTTCTGCAGCAGTTCCGCCTTCTCATTTAAGGCAAAGGTGTGCCTGGCACCGGAATCGTTCAATGAAAAAACCGAACACTCACTGGGTAAATCAGAAAAAAAAATCTACAAAGGATTACAAATCAGTGATTTCCACTGCCAGGATTGATTGCCGGTGAGGTGTATAGAAGGCAGGCCATGAGACAGCCAGATCAGATTCGATCATAGTAAAACACCATGACCCTGTCATGACCCCTTCCTGCTAAAGACGACAGCTTATCTGATGTCCACAGAGATGACCAAGTGGACCCCAGAGGCATTCAAGAAGCCCATAAGGAGAGGTTAGTCACGGTTCCACTAAGCATCCACATGGAACGATGTTTTTCCAGCTGGCCATCTATAATATACAATAATATACAAATGTGCTTGATGTATCTTGATGTCATCAAATATGTGAAGTGCTTGAATCCGACGTATCCGCAAAATAAATAGAAGGCTTGACAACACCCGTTTTGACCTCTCACATGTGACGGGTCTACAGTCCACACTGCTCGCCTGATGCTCTCGATTCCCTTCATTCAACTGGTCAAAGAAATCCAGCAAACAGTTTGCTCCAGCATTTTGGCATCAAAAAGTTGAATTTGGCTGGGTCGGAATCCTCACAGTTGCAAGCGGATGCCACCCCAATCGCATGGCCTGCGGGCGACATAGGACTTGGCTTCCTCAAGCTCTCGGAGGGCAGATGCCTCGCACTATGGCAGTCAAGCCAGATGTCTGTGATTTTCACCCATCCAGTCGCAAATTTTAGACCCACATGCACAAAGCCACAGATTACACGGCATTTTTTTTGTGTCGGATTTCCGTTCTTAGCATGCTATACAATGACAATATCAGGATTACACAGGCAGCTCTGGTGAGATTTGTACTTGACCAGACTGAACAAGCACCACTTTACAAATGTCGAAAACAGTGTCCGTGGGTCTTCCAAAGTTGACCCCACCCATATCAAAATCTACATTTGGAGTCACCACTGGCAAAGCTTAGATACCCTGCAAAAAGAAAGAAACAACATGCTGGGTATGAAATGTTCCTCTGTCTAAGTATCCAAAAAAAATCAAAAACAAACCCATGTAACTCAACCTGTACCAGTTAATTTACTTCATTACCATCATGACATCATGTACAACCGGCCCGATCCTCGCGCTTCTTGGCTTCAAACTCCCGGTGATTCGCCTGGACGAGGTCAGAGTCATGGGGAAATCATCGTTTTTTTCAGTGGAAAATGATGGAATCTATTATCCGATTATCTAAAACATAACCAAATCTTCGAATCGGCCCTGTGTTGCGCACGAATTGGGGAAATGATCATTTCTCGGAATCCAAATGTCGGGATGACATCCACCGTCGGAAACGGCAATTTCGCCCCAAATGGTCGCATAGACAGGCCCCAAGTGAAAGCCTGCGCCGCTTCCACTTGAAGTTTTTGCAGTTGCTTCACCTGCAGGTTGCGTGGGGACTGGCCCCGTTGGCAGAATTTTGGAGGGGGGAATGTCACCAGGGCATGGTTCAGAACCCCCCAAAAAAATATTGCCATGCACCAACTGCCATCAAAGACACTCTCATCTTTTCGTTGCTTAGCTCCTTTCGGAGCTCTTCATTCTCATCCTCCAGCTGCCTCTGGTGGCACTGGAACAAAAGATGTGCAGTGGGTGTCACAAGAAATGGGTGCGTTTTTGTGGGATTGTTTATTTATTTTGGAAACTTATATTTCTTGGGTCTAGGAGTCTAGGAGCTGCTTTCCTTGATTCTCCAACGGTTTTAATTGTCTTATTCTGGTCGGTGCCAAAATTAAAATGATATAATCTGAATTAGATGTCGATCTCAATCTAGTTTAAAATTAATCTAAATGCAATTTGAACTGAATTTGGATTTAATTTGAAACGAATGTCAAAAAAGTAAAATAAAATAAACTTAACTCAAAAAAATAATTTCAAAGCTTACTTAACTTTGAATGTAGATTTAATTCAAAATGGAATTTGAATGTGTTTCAAAACAATGAACTCATTCAACGAATTACTTAAACTTAATTCGAAATTAGACTAGATGTAGTTGAAATTTTCAAGTTCAAATTATGTTTCTTCAATCGGGAACTTAATCTAGACTCAACTTGAGACTAGTGTAGATCCAAAACCATAGTTTTTGAAATTTAACTTTAAAACAATTTGGGTTGATCTAGAATTATTCCAAATATCGATTTAGATTACGAATGTAGGAATATACACAGAAATAAACATGCACATGCACATACACATGCACATACACACACCAATACATTACCTTTACAATATATCACCATACGTTACAATACATTCAAATACAGTACAACATATCGTCATACATGAATGTGCATTACAATACAACTACGCTTCATCACATTCACCTGTGTAAAGTACAAACAATTACATTAGATACAGGCATGTATTTATAGATTTTATAGGTACTGCCTCATGCGTGTATTATACAATTATACATATCCGTTTCTTTCATGGCCACCATTGAAGAGAGCATGGTCAGCGTATGTCAGGTCATCACCCTCAACTTGTGGATTCTCATGGATTCCTCATCAGTTTCCCCAGGACGAAATTCTGAGCCTCAGCTGCGAGTGCAAGTCCGGATCATGATTGCTGTAGCCATTGGAATATGTCGCTCCCTCCTTGCCATTCGCAGCACTCTTGCCGTTCTCCTGGCGCATTTTGGGACTCCCATTGACGGGGTGATGATTTCACCATCAAGTATGGATATCTGGAAGGGTTTCATTTCACTTCATACAGGTACATTCGAAATGGTGATTTATGATTTGAAAAAACGGGAAAATGCTATGTATGTATATTTAGATATATAGATATAGATTAATATAGATACAATGTATATATGTTATATGTGTTATTTTGCTGCGATGGTGGGGTTCAACACGCCTCTACTTCCCCCCCAAGGGACCTGCGGGCGACCAGTCCAACGGCGGGGAGCCGGCCTCCAGGCTGCGTGTGCTCTGGGATTGGCATCTAGTTGGATACAAGAAGATACGGGAGATCATGGGAGATATATGGGCCAATAATTAGAAATTCATCGGATTTTTTTGCAATTTGGGATTTAGAGGAGAAAATGACTCTAAACAGTTTAAACTGCTGGATGGAATGGAGTGCCCTATTTTGAGTCAAACCCCAATGGGGGTATGTTCGTCCCACAATATATGGATGCATGTCAAGGCCAGTGTTGCCATCACCATTGTACGTTTATGTCAGAATGATGCTTTTTGGGCACCTGCTCTGCTAGATCTCTGGATTGATCATGCTTCAACCCATTTCAAAGGAATACGAAGAGATTGCGCACGAAATCTTGCCGATCATGTCAAGCCGCAGATATCGAAATTGCAAACCCAACCCCAAAATGTCATAGAAATGTTCCAGCGCCATGCTCGTCACTCACAACCAACAAATAAAAACATGAAGATCTTCTGGGCTTCAAGACTTGCTTTCTACCTGTCGAATCACCAATGATGTCCTTTCGCACATCAAGTAGGCTTGCGTCAGCTTGATATACCAGTATTACCATAATTTACAATCTAGTATCATATAGACATATATATATATATATATTGTGAGTATATAAAATATTGTATCCTATATATATACACATATACATATACATATGGACATTTGTTCCATATTTATAGACTCATCCTTTCTTGGGGGAACTCCCAAGGAGCGGTCGACAAAGGGCAATACCACCACCTCCCAGCCTGGTTGGAAGAGATGGCCAGGACTCCTGCCCAAAAATCCCAAAAAGTCCCAAAAGAATCATCCAAAAATTGGGGCGATTTGTCTCCCAGAAGTTCCTGGAATGCAATAATAAACTATTCTTGAGGGTACTGTATCCCATTTATTAGAATTTCACGTTCGGAAATGTGACTGCATCATTCGGTGTGATTTGTTGACGAGTTCGGACATTGAAGATGCATCGTCCCTTGTGTCCCTCACGATTTCCATCATCTTGGGATACCAGCACTAGATTTTGTCATCAAGAAGGATGAACTTGCTAATCATTGTCATTGTCAATTCTCTATTGGTCTCACAAAGGCACCCTGGTGAAGGCAGACTTCTGATAGTGGGGAAACAGGATGCCTGTGCAATGCTCAAAACCATGCTTTGATTCATCACAAAGCTCAGACCATGAAAAAACTCTGCAAAGCGATCTCCACTTCGCCCCTTAGCTTCATCATTCACCTTTTCCCAAACAGATTAGTGAAATATTCTTGCCAAACACCTGGTTTCAGCTCCGCCGCTTCCACCCTACGGATCCAACAGAACGCTGTGTTCGGGCACACCTTCGCTGAGGCCGCTGAGGCGGACGCGCGGCCACCTGCCCCGAGTCAAGAGCTGATCCCAGACGCTTCTCTGACCTTCTCGGTAGATCAAAATGGGTCAAATTGCTGTTCGCTCACGAGGCGACTCCAACAAGTTCCCCGTAATAATCGTGATAAAGCTACATTTGTGATGCTACCAGGGAGTGAAGAGTGCAACTTCCAGGCACCTCGTGTGTTCGCAGAAGCGCGGGGAGGCTCCTGAGCAACAGTCTTGGCCCACAGACGTTCGTGGCCGAAAGGGCAATTGATGACAGGATGGGCAGCTATGATCATACACATAGATATGGAAAAAGAAATATTAAATATATATAGATACAGATATAGATGTACATGCACATACGCATAAGCCTACACATACACATATACACGTGTACACATCTACACATCTACGCATACATGCATATATTAGTATATGATAGCATCCTTTTCAGGGGTTATGTTGCACCACAAGTGGCATGACGGTTGCCATGGGGTCCTCCTCCAAGTCTTCCTCAACTGCACCTTCAGCAGCCCAGGTTTCCTCAAAGGTCTCCTCTCCATGCCGCATCTGGGCCAAAGGAAAGTTGGCCACGCCAAGGAAATGTGTGAAGAATTGGTCAAAAAGCCTTGGAATCCGCTCATTTGCTGTTTTCAAGACCAAAATTTCCCTGGTACTCATGTTGATCCCCCCATCAACCAATGGTCCAATTTGAGGCGGCACTTTCCCTAGTTCCCAGATTCTCATGGTAACATCAGGAGTCCTCCACGGCACTAGGTTCATCCTCAGCTTCCTCTGCATATTCCTCGGCAAAATAGATGCTAGGAGTGAACGAAACCAGATCATCAGAGCAAGGTGACAAACAAGTCATGACAACAAAACCGACAAGTCATGACAACTTGTCACAAGTCCAAAACTGCAAATGTGCCTCTTGTGCCTCATGTGCCTCGTGTGCCTCGTGTGCCTCGTGTGCCTCGTCCTCTGCTTGAACATCAGCTTCTTCAGCTTCTTGTATCTCTTCATCCTCTTGACCTTCAGCCTCTTCAGCCTCTTCAGCCTCTTCAGCCTCTTCAGCCTCTTCAGCCTCTTCAGCCTCTTCAGCCTCTTCAGCCTCGTCAGCCTCTTCAGCCTCTTCAGCCTCTTCAGCCTCTTCAGCCTCTTCAGCCTCTTCAGCCTCTTCAGCCTCTTCAGCCTCTTCCTCATCAGCTTGATCAGCTTGATCAGCTTCATCGGCTTCACCTTCATCTTCAGCATCGACCTCTTCAGCGTCTGCATCAGCATCTTTGGTTTCTTCAGCAACCAGATCTTTCAGATCTTCATCCTCCTTCTCCCTCGCAGCAGACAGTTCGGGGCCACCGCTATGAATTTCCCCCCAACAGATCACTAAATTGCATGTCCATATACATATATACTTTAAAGGTCCCTGGAACAAATCAATATTCATATATATATATATTATACATTATACATGATACATAATACATGATACATGATACATGATACAGGATACATGATACATAATGCGTATGCATATGCATATACATATACATACAAATAGATATAGATATAGACATATACATATACATATACATACACATAGACATATACATATACATACACATAGACATAGACGTATACATATACATACACATATACATATACATATACATATACATACACATATACACATATACACATATACTGCATATACTGCATATACTGCATATACTGCATATACTGCATATACTGCATATACTGCATATACACATATACACATATACACATATACACATATACACATATACACATATACATATACATATACATGTACATGTACATATATGTACATATCAGGTTGCATTCAATATTCAATTCCTGGTGATATATATATATATTATTGAATTTGATCATGGAATTATGTGGGTTTGCCCAAAGATGCGGAATTGACCCTGAGATCATACAAATCGTCCATTTAAAACAATTTCAAACCATTGATTCATTGAAAGCCATTTTTCGCATCCCACGGCACCGTCGTCGCCTTCCACACGTTTGGAGCTCTTCGGCTTCCGTGGCAGCCGCTTCAGCGGCTTCAGCGGCTTCAGTGGCCTCGAGTGGAGGGAAGAGTGACCCGTCCAGTTGTTTTAATTTCACAATGCCAGGACAATGCCATTCAAAATGCCATTAAAAAATGCCATAAAATTCACAGATCATCCCAACTTATATAATCCCAATTTGTGGTTAATGACTTGCTATAGCAAGATTCTTGGGATGATTTATATTACCTCCACATCAATGATGCCCAAGGACTGTTTATTGTTCTGAACAAATTGCAACAAAGACCCCTGATGCTTTTCTTTGAAGGGATTACCGGATTGGCGGTTCTAGTTCTGTGGGCATAATGCACCGGTTTGACTTTAAAAGACTGCCTCACTGACAAACTGGTTCCTTGACCAATTACAGCCATAACCACCCAATAATATATATATATATGTGTATATATACAGTATAGGAAATTTCCGCAAACCACCTGGTGTACGTGAACCAACGCGATTCTGTGATGAAAAGAAACATGTTTGTTTGATTTTTAAACAAAATTGTGCGTGAATTACATATGATGAACCTTTTTTTTATCACTTTCCACAACATGGAAAGAAAATATGGTGAACAGGTCTTGTGGGGAAAAAACAAATTTCGCAAATGTGGTCAAACACGTCATGTTGAGTGATATTTCATGACTAATATTCATTCAAATTGCAGGTATACAAATCATCCTTGGTGAAGCATACGGTAAATTGTGTGAACAAACATTTCGTACATAGCCAATTGGTTCCATCAAAACATTGTGAATAAAATTTGGAGGGTACGTACGAATGGTTTGCCCTGAATCAAAAAATCAAACCCACCATTGAACCGACTGGGTCCAAAGGTCAGACATGAAGAACGCACAAAACGCATAAATACCCATAGAGATTTGTGCATGGGTCGAAGTTGGATAATCAAAATAAAATAATTAACAATAAAATTGCGCAACCAAACAAATTATTTTGAAAATTGCCGTCTCCGTGGGTTTAAAAAAATTGTTCCAGCCCGATGCCGTGGCCTGCAAATCCGCAGCCATGGAAATCCAAGGTGTTCGATGAAATTGTTGATTACCAAAATCCAGGATGGCTCATGTCGTTGATGTGAGAATCAATTGAATCATAGCCAAAAATGCGGTTTCTTGTTTTGTATGCGATAAGGTCACTCGTCCTGAATGCATTGGATGCTTTGGATGTCTGAGAAAAGAAAACATGGGATCATCATAAAAAAAAAACATGGATCACAAATTGACCCTTTCTGTTAGTTGTTTGCCAAAGCTGCCAAAGGCCCTGTCAAAACCGCAGTGCCACGGAACAAAGGGCAAATTGTGGTACCATGAATTTACACACAATAACTGCATGCCGGTACACTTTGATGTGATTTGTTCAATTTGTTTTTGGTGCGTTGGGTTCACAATAGTGTTTTTGTGCGTGCAAAAATCGCGCGATCTCGTAAAATTTGCGGGGGTTTTGAGGGAAAAAAACATGTGGTTTCTTGTTTTGGAAAGAAACTGTTCTGCTGCGCAGAATGCGAAAAAACACATGCGTTTTCATATATAACAGGTGCAAAGTTCTCAAAACATGTTTGTTTAATCCAAGGAACCATTCACAATTTGGTCCACTCGTTTCCTTTTTCGTTTCCTTGATCGTTTCCTTTATTACCCAGCCACGCCACAAAATGCCATTGCACAATGCCATGTTCCTTCCATTGGTCATTGTCTTGTCGGGCCCCTTGCTTGACCACTTTTCTGGGGAACCCAATCTGTCCGACCGAAATCTGGTGATTGTGCTGCAGCTGAATGGATCGAAGGTATATAACCTTGGCATTCGGAGACAAACATGGGTTCAGTTCAACAAGAAACACATCCAAAATTGATCAATGAAGGTGGAAAAGTGTGCGTCGAAAGTAAGAAAAAAAAACTAAGTTTGTGATCCATGCGCGCGCGCATGCCCACACATATGTGTGGGCCTGGGCCAAACTTGGGGTACCATTTTTGTCCCTATGGACGATTGAATACCACAACAACATTAAATAACCCAACGAAATATTCCCAGTTTCCAGTTCCCAGTGGTTAGAGTTGTGAATCGTACTGGGCCCAGCGCTGATGTTTAAAGGAATATGGCGTTCGATCAAGCCACATTACTACCCCACAACCGTTTCATTTAACAACAAGATTGTTTCACAACATTTTCATGTCAATTCACGACACTATTGTCAACAGTTCACTAGGCAACAGTATTACGTCACCACCATTTCATTTCACCGCAGTGTCGTTTTACAACAATTTTGGTTCACAACAATGTCAAGTGACAGCAACATCACTTCACAACAATATCTTGGCACAACACATGGTTTCATAACAATCACAACAATACCAGGTAATGCCCGGCCGTGCCGAGGCACAAGTTTCGAAAATATAAAGTTGGTTATAAGAAATCAACGCCCTTTAGGAAAGTCCTTCAAATGCAGAAGCAATGAAGTGTTGAAGTTGCGAGGTGCATCAACGAATGATTATATAGATTAGTTATTTAAAGGGTACAGATGCGAATGATTTGACATGCAAAAAAATATGCACAAGTGGTTGGATGAACCAATGAACAAATGAATCAAGGAAACAATGAACCTGAACCAATGAACCAACAAAACAATGAATCAATGAATGAAGCAATGAATGTGTGACACAATTTATCAAAGAATCAGTGAATCGATGAATCAACAAATGCAAAAAATCAATGCAGCAATGAAGCCGTGAATCGATGACTGCACGAATCAACGGATCAAGAAAACAGCGGATCAATGAATCAACCAAGCATGAAACAATGAAGCAATGAATCGATGATTGCATGAATCAACGAATCAAGGAACCAGTGAAAAACAAGCAACAAAGCAATGACTCAGTTTGTCAATGAAACAATGAACAGATGAACCAGTGAACCGATGACTGAATGAATCAATGTAACGGCGAGTCAGTGAATCAATGAGTCTAAAAAACAGGCAACCAGGGAATCAACGAAACAATGAACCAACGAAGCAATCAAGGACTGAATATCAATGAATCAGTGAACCACTGACTCAAGGAACCACGCAATCAACCAATGAGTCCATCAAATTCAAAATATGAAACAATAAACCAATTAATCCATAAATGTCAATGATCACTGAATCATTGATTCATAGGGGCAAGAAAGCAATGAATCAATGCAAATTTTTCTGGAACCAACAAGCGCCTGACGATACACGCTGAGTGACACTTCTCGATTTGTGCTGTCAACGCAAATGACTGTCATCAACTGTACTGTTTCAGCAGGGTTTCCACATGCGTAACTATACAACTGATCGAAGGAAGTTTAGAAGTCAAACTTCCGACAATATGGACAGATTATTATAAATCTATGAGGCTCAAGAAATTCAAGACCCAAAAGGAACAAGGAGGAAAGACTCGTCTTTCCAATCAACTCACACCAAGACAACTCTGACACCGCGCATCCTTCCTTCTTTTTAAACCACGATGGGGAAACGAGTCATCAATTGAATTCAATGAGACATATTCGAAATTGAACTGGACTACCATTTCTTGAGGATCAGATGTCTGGTGGGAACTTCAACACATGAGTTGTTTCAGAATCAAATATGAGAACCAACAATGATGTTGCGAATCGAAATAGAGATTTGTAGTAATGGAAAAGTTTCGTCATAAGAATCAAATCTGAACACCATCATTAGTTCCCATCCAGATCATCCCAAAACATTCCTTGGTAGCCAGAGTAAAATTCATCAAAATCAAATGCATCTTGGTCATTTTGTTGAGCAAGATGATCTTCATATTGTTGTTGTATATGAGCAGTTTCATCGGGATCAACTTCTAGTTGATCAGGTTGCGATTCAGAGTCAATCTCTGTAATGAGACTGAGTTCTGGAGAAAAAGGTACCTGATCTTCAAATTGCGATTGTGGAAGCAAAACAGGTACTGATTTCACGAATTTGGTTAGCATGGCGACTGAAAGACAGTCAGCTGCTGCAAACAAGGAAGAAACAAGGAGCTCCGGATTTGGGAGTCTCTTGAATTGATGAAAGGAAATGAGTTCACGAATTAAACAATTCAGGAAGGACAAATTTGAAATGAATTGGTCAAGATCCGGAGGGAGAAGCGAATTTGCGAAGAGGAAGACGGAGGTAGAAGGATGATCGACAAAGAAGCTGGAAACTGGTTCAAAATGTCCAGAAAATGAACAATGGATGACTGAACAAAGGAAGGCCCAGTGGCGGCCTGTGAAACTGTCGAAGATATTCTCAAGAAGAAAACACACGATATTGAGAAGACGGACGAGTCGTTGTCCGTTATCAATGTGCATCGAGAGCCATTCACGAAGAGTCTCGCTCAGAGTATCCATACCTGGCAAGAAGAACGAAATAAGAGGGTGAGGAGGGAGGGAGAAAAATTTTCACTGCAAATGTAAGAAATCAATGTTTGGTTCTTGAAATTTCTTGAGCCATGGCCACGGAAATAAAATAAGTCAAGGGAATTTCCGATCTCACAGATTTAAAATAAAGATATGTCTAACGATGTTAGAAATAGTTCTTATTATAAATCTATGAGGCTCAAGAAATTCAAGACCCAAAAGGAACAAGGAGGAAAGACTCGTCTTTCCAATCAACTCACACCAAGACAACTCTGACACCGCGCATCCTTCCTTCTTTTTAAACCACGATGGGGAAACGAGTCATCAATTGAATTCAATGAGACATATTCGAAATTGAACTGGACTACCATTTCTTGAGGATCAGATGTCTGGTGGGAACTTCAACACATGAGTTGTTTCAGAATCAAATATGAGAACCAACAATGATGTTGCGAATCGAAATAGAGATTTGTAGTAATGGAAAAGTTTCGTCATAAGAATCAAATCTGAACACCATCCCATCCTCATAAATTTGATTGTTATGAACCTTCAAGCTTTCTGAGGAATTCCTTGATGATGAAGTCAAAGACTTCTAATGGAAAAACAAAACATTCAGCGCCAAGGTCTCGTACTTCATCCAGTGAATCTCTGGATGGTCCATCTGCGATGTTGGATGAGGAGTTCACTCTGGATATCCAAGGTACGAATTGGAGCCTCTGTTCCAGATCAAGAAAGAGGTAGACAAGTGATCTTGATGAATGATTGATGGAGCCGGCATTGATCAAAGCTGATTGTGCCGCAGAGTTGTCAACGTGAAAGAACACGCGCTTCGACCTCAATTCTTCCTCAAAGGCAATGCAAGCCATGACGACTGGCAGAATCTCCAATTGATGAATCTTCCCACCAACAGTTTGAACCTGCTCGTGGGTAGGTGAAAATGAAAAGGCCTTAAGACAATCTCCACGTTCATTCACTAACACCGCGCCGACTCCAGCAACTGAATCCGAGTCACCAACTGGTTCCAAGGATCCGTCTGTGAAGACATGTACTACTTCAGACCGACCGAAGAAGACTTTCCTTGGCATACCGACCTTCAAGTGTGAGATCATGATCTCAAGAAGTCTTCTTGTGTTCGGATTTATCCTTTTAGGGTGTTTCTGACACTCGTACCTTCCCAGGTCTTTTAACACTGAAGCGGCCGTCCTCCCGTATAGTTGCGAGCATGCGAAGCTAAGTCTACTCCTTAGTCCCTTTGCATCACGGCCACATATCTTGCCAGAAGAGAGGACTGCTTCAATTCTTTTAACAAGATCTTCAACTCGTTGATCGGTATTCTTGATCTCAAAGGAGTCGCCAGGCATCTTGTGCAAGTCAAATGCAACACCCAGAGCGCTGAAGACGAGCAAAATCTCGGTTTTTCTTCTCTGCTGTGCTGAGGTTGAGTCCCAGGACTTCGAAAATCGTCCTTATGGCCAGGTCCGTTCCCTTGGCCAATGACTTCCTCGTGACGACAGAGAAGTCGTCGAAGTATGAGGTGACTGGGACCTTCAAGAGAGTACAGCAGATGTTGTTGATGGCTGCTGCTGTCCTCAAAAACGCATGAACGGAAGCAATGGCGCCAAATGGCATAGTTGCCATTTTAAACAGTCTTGGCTTCTTGAT